AACATCTTCTGAGAATTTTCTGTTGTAATAATTAGAGCTTAATGAATATTTAATGATTACAATATGTCTAAAATTACAGTATGGTAAGGCACACAAGTCTTAATGTAGCATGAAGTGTGCAGGGTTAACAATCAGAACCAGGAAATTCTCCATTTTTTTTTCCTCAGAAATGTTAACTCATCATGATACATATTTGATCTTTGTACATCTTAAAAAAAGAAACAAACAAACAGAAATCTTTAAAAGCCACAGTTACATATTTAAACCAAAATACAGAATGGGAAATCTGATGTATATGAAACACAGAAAAAATAAGATTACAAATATTATTTATTTCAAAGCTGCCACTTTATTATTTATTCCCTGTGTTATCCATAACATGTAGAGTACTTACTTATGAACATTTAAAAAGTCCTTCATGCTAAGAAGAATTTAAAACTCATGAGGAAATAGAAGGGCAACTCATAGTTTATCAAGAAGTGATTCTATTAATGTTTAAATCAATATAGTATTTTAATGTATTACTCATAAATGCATAGAAAATGTATCTAAACGTTACTCTACTAGACCTTTGTGAAATGTTTATCTTGAAGTCAAAATCAAGATTTTCACACCTTTTTATATTAAAAAGAGCTATATCCACTGAAAAATTATTTATATACCTGTCATTTTCAGTAAACACTAGAGGCCATGTAAACCTGGGAAGTGTATTTAAACCCTGTATCTCTGGGATGCTTTGTTACTAATTTATATGTACCTTAGAGGTGAGAATTCTGTAATGTCTGAGCATTTCATAAATATAAAACACCAAATTTGCTCTGAGGCATAGAGCTAGAAAACAGGAAGAATGTTTCACTTACCATAACAAAGAAAGTCTGTATCAAAGCTATCTGCATATAGAATCTGCATCCTAAATCCTGATCTAATACAATGACCACAGGACTGTTCTGTGCTCTAAAAAATAACAGTCTAATTGATGCCTGTAGAAGGGACTAATTTTGCTACTGAGAACATATTTTCATCAGTATACATATGTGTGTGTAAATATATTTGATAGCCTTCAGGAGAGGTGAGGACATGAATCTCCTCTGGTATCTAACATACTTTGTTGGTGTGGCTTGCATAATTATTTATTTGGAGAAAAGTAGGATCTGCTCCCATATCAGGTAGGTCCTCTCCTCTTCCTTTTTTCTCCCTCTCCTCTCCCTTTTCTTCAGTGTAGTGAGTTGTTTGCTTCCTACAAATGCCAAAGAATTTTAATAATCTATCACATCCCCAGATACTGTAATGATATTACTCCTTGACCCAGAAAGGGTCCTCATTAGCCCTTTGCTCGGTAAATATGAGCTACTGTTCAGGATGGACCGAGGGACAGGTCGCTCTCAGGCAGCCTCTCCTTTCTTCAGGTGTTGCTTGGAGACTTTTGGATCCATAGGCAGGAAGAAAGAACAAAGCTGAGATGACCCTTCTGTCTACCCCTTCCTGCCATCCCAATGAGAGAGGGTTAGGGAGCAAAGCTGGCTCTGCCTGTTAAAAGAAAAACAGTGAAATGAAACTGTTTCTGCTGTTATCCTTGCCCCTTAGCTGCCTATTGCTTTGTTATAACTGTGGCTGTCAGTCTTTATTGCCCAGTGCTGAGTTTGTTACAGATTACTAAAAGGTATTTCAGGGCCTGTGATGAATGCAGTTATAGGCTGTTGAGTTTTTTCCCATGGATTCTTGTGGGCTAAACACCTACTGCACAATTTTGTGTAAATGACAACCCATTGAGTCTTGTGTCTGTCATGCCTATGTGTGAAACTTCAGAGAAAGTGAACTTCACATACTGTATCACCAGTTATCCCTGAGCAAGCAACGGCTTTCCCAAAGGACCAGACTGAAATTTATGTTGTATAAAGTTTCATCAGTCATGGTAACTGATGGAAAAAGATAACAGACTGTTTGACAAACAAAACTTCCAAGTGTGATCCAACTGCATGTGCAGCTGGATTGATGTCAGAACATTTAATCTGTGATTATAGTGGTTTAAGTGTGAGAAAAATGCAGATATACCAAGATTTAAGAGATTCTACTCATCCCCAGTAGTATAAATGGAGTTAGGCAAAGACCTTAATGGAAACTTTGGCTATGCCTGCATTGAAATCAGACTATGACTTTAGTTTATATATATTTACCCACACTAACTTTAGGATAGATACATCTGTCTAGTTCAACTGCAGTGTGAATGAGTTCATGCTGGAAAAGAAACTTTCCCAAAAGATTGCCCTTTTATTTTTAATTTTAATTACTACTTGTTACAATGCAGTTGACCCATACTGATCGCAGTGCTTCCTCTTTTCCACTGATGAAACCAGAACCTGAACTGGTTCCTATGCTCAAAATAAACTAGTACAAACAGGGGCACCAATTTTCAAGTTTCAAAATACCAAACAATTTGTAGAAATTTTTTCTCTTAATAAAATGACTCAGAGTGATGGAATATAAACAAGTTTCAGCATATACAAACTGGTTCAGCATACACTTAATGAAGGATGGAGGGGGATAATGTCATTCATTTCTATTTGCTTAGAGCCAAATTCACTTACATAGTTTCCACTATACTCCAAATCTTTTAAGAGTGTTTGATATTTACCACATGAATGAATAAAAAAGGTAATAAGAATAAACAGGTAGCAGATTTTACTGAATTTTACTGAAGTATTTTCAAGATCAAGTAATGAGATATAGTAAATATAAACATTGTAGTAAGCCTTGTAATCTGTCTATTCCAGAAATACATGTACAAAAATTGCAAATTAGTCATACAAATTGATACAAATACCAATACAAATTGATGAAATGAGTTAGTATTTGAATGCGTGCTCCCAATACAATCCTTTTAATCTCGATTAATTGTACTTTCCATGAATTTTTCATTTTATTTATTTTTTAAGTACTTCAAATGTATTAGAAATGTATGTGTACAAATCTGGTCCTTAGAATATATAAGTAATAGATGAAGAATAGTTGGTGCTGCCTATATTTAGACCAACAGAAAGCAAGGAAACAAAATGCAAATCAGTTTAATTAGAAAGCAACCTAGCAAATCAGAAGATGGCTTAGACTTTATATCAAGAGATATCAATTATATTAAGATATAATGCTATTTAAGTTGTTGTTGTTAAATATTTATAGGCAACACTGTGCAGAAAAAATCTCCCAAAGATTATAGAATGCACTTACCCTTCCCCAGACTCTTGTGGACTAATCACTGTCCTTCTTCCATTTGACTGAAGAAATGTAGATGCTTTTGCAAAATTCCACTATTGTCAGAATGGTGTAAAATGCTGTGACTTAGGCTCCTGTCTATGCAGGGAGTAGAAGAAGAATTTTCTTTCATCTCTGTTTTGCTTACAGTCCTATATAAATACAATTTAGCTCCGAGTACAGGAGTCATTATTCCTCGGACAGAGAAAAGAACTTGGGGTCTTGCAACTTTACTTTTAGGTTTTTGTCCACTTATTATTCTGGAACAAAGGAACAAAGCCCAGAGCATTTTCTAATTAATGGTTCATTCTGTGCTTTATTTCCAGGCTGATTACAGTAGCCCTTCCCACCAGCTACATTCTCATGGCAAGTCCTAAGTGTCTAGAAACAAAGAAATTCAAACGTGTGCTTTCCAAAAATGATATAATATGTTCCACTAATGCATTCCTTCAGCCCCTTCTACATAGATATATGAAACAGTCAAATGGGCAGCATCTCTCTAACAGGATGCTGAGGAATTTTTTCGAAGGATAACAAGTCAATGGAAATAAATTTTATTAGCAGATGAAGATACTGCATAAAATTATAACTTGTAAATAGCATTGTTAGAAAAAAAAAAAGAAAAAACAGAAGGTATCCTTCATAGAGCTGTTTTCCTATCAACTTCACGTAAATGAGGCAGTGTCATGGCTTTCCATCAACTCTTTTTACCAGGATTTCTTAACTACATTAATGAAAAGTCTTTTGTTCCTCTTTTCAAAGCAGGAGAAGAATGATGTCTTTGTTCTCTCCTTAAACATTACACAAAATATGAACAAGAAAGTATTGTTTAGTTGTAACCATTCAGAAAAGAAATCTTTCTCATTTACCAGCATTTTTAATCGATGTAAATTGTAAAATGCTCATTGAAAAATCTCTGTGTTCCACATAAAGAGAAAAAAACAAAAAAAAAGCTGATGACATAGGAGACATAACACTTTACCCTGAAAACTGCACTTTGATACATGGGTATGTTCAGAAGCTCTGAAATTATCCTATGTGATTTTTAGGGAATATTAGATTATAAGAAAAAATATATTTTAAAATATGCAAACTCACATCCTTGTTGTCCAACATGTCTGTCTTTCTGATTGCATTACTACCTGGTAATATGAATATTCATTTCATATGAAATAAATAAGTGCTTGCAAGTTGTCATGAACATATGACATTCTATCAAATACAGACTTTTATGTCTTAGTTTCGAAGACTGACTTTTTTTTTATTTAATAAGTAATGGTGTAAAGTGCCTTTTACATGTTACGGGCTTTAGATGATGAAACAGTAGCCTGCAGATTTAAGCACATAGATCTGATTCTACTGCATTATAATTAAAAGGTGGATGTAAATTAAAAGGTGTATACTTTTCAGCTGAGTTTAATACTTGAATATGAAGATGTTTGAAGATGTGAGATTGAGTGTGCTATGATTATTAGTTTGTAACATCAAGTTTCCTGGCTTACAGACAGCAATGGTTGAGTCAAGTTTTCTCTGTGTGTGTATGTGAGTGTGTGCACACTTGTAGATTTGTATTTATGTGACCGATGTGAGCATGGTTGTCTGTAAATATTTTTTTCTGTAGTAATTTATGGTTGTAAAACAAGAGGATCTAATTGTTCTCATGATGATTTCTTACACTTCAGTCTTCTAAGGAGTACCACCTACCTTTCCTTACAATATACATGAATGCAAAAATTTCCCTGTGATCTCTTTAGGTTCTCCCTATAGAGACAAGATCACTATAGCAATTCTTCAGCTGCAAGAAGAGGGCAAGCTCCACATGATGAAGGAGAAATGGTGGAGAGGCAATGGCTGCCCGGAGGAGGAAAGCAAAGAGGCCAGTGCTTTGGGAGTTCAAAATATTGGAGGAATCTTCATCGTGTTGGCAGCAGGATTGGTGCTTTCTGTCTTTGTCGCTGTTGGGGAGTTTTTGTACAAATCAAAAAAAAATGCCCAGTTGGAAAAGGTAAATATTGTCTTTTCCTATTTAATTTTATAATGATGGTTAATTCAGATAATATTTTAAACTTCCAATAGACAAATGCAGGTGCATACTGATTATTTATCATATAATGCAGTACTTAAATGACAAAGGATCACAACAGAGTACCCAAAGTTCTATATTTACAGCTTGTAATTTGTCTTCAATATGTTTAATTGTAGCCAGCTTTCAGGACAAGTGACTATTTCTCCTCTTATTCAAGCCTGAAAAAAGACAGCTTTTTACTCCTGGAAGTTCACTGCAGTTAATTTTATGGATGAAGAAGAAATCCGAAACTGTAATGGGAAACAAATTAATCTTCTGCTGATAATTCTGATTTTCAAAGACGTAACTGTCTGTAGCTCAAAGTAAAAAATCTAAAAATGTCTCTATAGAAATGTTCTTTCCAGAAGGTTACACTTGAAAAAGTTGTTCTGGTAGCATCTAGAAAAAATTACATTAATCTGATTCTTAATGGTTTTACTACAGATTATGAATTGATGTCCTGCAATTTAAAACTCAGTTTTGAAAATTGTACTTTCTATTTGTACAACAACAATATTGTAACTGTGCCAAAACTACTAAGATTTTTTGTAAAATTCTTAGTGGGAATAATCAATTGTGTATATTAAAAAAAAAAAAGAACCTCTCTATATAACCATGTTTAAAACCTACGCTCAATCTATATATTTTATTGCTATGACATATTCTGAATTTTTTAAATGGAGAGAAACTGTGCATTTTTTGTACTATTTTTTTCCTTAAGATTAGTTTGTGGCCCAAGTCAATTCCTATATTTGTGTTTAGCAACTTAGTTTAATAAAATAAGTAGCAAATTCAACAGACGCATTTATATTAATATTTTCCAGATGCTACTAGTGAATTTTTGTAATTGAATTATTATTCAGAAAACTTAAGATTTGTATTCAGTCCTTTTAAGCTACCTTTTGGTATGCAAGTGTCCTTTAATGAATATACTGTTAAAGACATTTTTTTGCTATAACACACAATGGCAGTGCGAGATCACAAAATTCTAAAGAGATTTTGAACAAGGGTACATTTTATTATATTGTAAAAAGACCATTCAGTTTCTCTTATTTATCATACTATAGGATGATTCATTTCTGTTCACCTACTATTGAAGTGTTGTGTTTCTGAAAAACATAATTGTGAGGAAAAAATAACATTTACTTAAATAACCTATGTAAATCTCAATAACTTTATATATTCCTAAGGTTAATATGGATTTCATATGGATTTCACTCTGATTTAACTCTTATGGACTTTTAAGAAATATTTATTCAGAAAAATAAGACTATTTGATAAAAATTTTGTAACACCAGTTGCTTAGTGTTTTTTAGAGTTTGAGACCTTACTGGACACTAACACCATGACTTAACTATAGAAAATTGTGTGAGGAAGCAAAAAAAAAAAAATCCTCTCCCAGGACCACAGACCTTCAGTGGATGTCTTCCTATCCCTCCCCAAAATATAGTAGATGCCTGCTGCCTAGGAAAGGGATGAGTAGCAGCAATAGAGGGGAGGTAAAAGGTACAGTCGACTATCTCCTGTCGCTGCAGCTCCTCTGCTGGAATGGGTGCACCCTGCAGATAGACCTGCCTTGGCCATCCCTTAGGGAGGGAGGAGGCACCTGTTTTTTGTAGCATTGATTCATTTAGTTTCATTATATCAGTATATCTGTGTATTATCTATAAGCATTTGGAGACAGGAAAGATCAAAGGTCACATTAAAAGCTAAGGAAACAAAAGAAATCAGATATCTTTACATGAATTAATATGTGAAGTTTCCTGGGACACAGTTGACCATAACAACATGTATATCCATTTTTATGTTATACAAAACACATATAGTTGCACTTCCATTATGGCAGAAGACCTTCAATGAAGATTTTAGGTGCATAATTTTGCTAAGAAATGCTAATGCTAATTTTGCTAATGCTAAGAAATAATGTTTCTTAGCATTTTTGCTTTCCTGTCATGTACATGTACAGAGATGTTGTGTGTGGTAAAGAGTGAGACCTCCAAAGAAACTGAACTCAGCAAAGCAGCAGACAGAATTGTGTATTTTTTTTTTCTGCAAACTGCTAAATTTCATGACAAAAGTGGATCAAAGCATTCATGTTCTCAATCTCCTCAAAAACTGGATAGCAACTTATGACCCCACTGCAGTCTTTCTATAAAGCAGACATTGATGAGCAGAATGGGACACCTATTTGTACCACCGCAGCATTTGCTAGACACTGAGGAATTTCTGTTTTATTGACACCTTTTCAAAAAAAGATAAGCCTTAATAAGATTGAAGTTAGTCTGTCAGTCATCAACACTTCTATGGCTAGTCTGTTTGAAAAATGAATGTCCTAATTTACTAAGAATTTTCAACAATATCCAGGTCTGATGAGTGTGAAAAGAACAATATATGGACTCAATTCAGCTATCATTTGTAGCCATTCAAAATCGACTGAACAATCAACAGGTCAGAACAAAGTCTGCTTGTGAAAAAATAAGAGATGCACATATGTTCGTCGTATGTACGATGAGATATACATCGTTCCTTAACTGTTTGTTTTATTAGAGGAGATCTGGTCAGAGGCTTCCTATAATACAAAATATGTCAAGTTGAATCTAAAAAGGTGCTGAATTGATGATACCAGCAGAGTATTTCTGGAGTTAAATGAGCAAATTGCAAATGAAAAATTATTTGAAATAACCTCTCTGAAATACATTTTTTATAATTGAATAAATAGGCAATGCAAACAATAAATGTATTGATATTGGTTTATCTTTTACAGTCATTTTCTAAGGAAGACAGAATCAATTTATTTTCCATAGTAAATAATTCAGGATTAAACTGCAGAGCTGAGTTGAGAAAACTCATTCTAGATGTTGTAATGAATGTGTACTGAAAATTCTTAGCAGTTTATAGAGTTGGACCCAAAGTGGACATCAGTAGCTGTAGGTCATGTAAGACCCATGAGTCACTTATAAATGCATTTTACTTACAACAGCAGGTTTTGCTAAAGTAGTTAGAAAATATGAATGCCGAACTGTGAACTTCATATGAGACTATGTCTTTGAAGACAAAAAAACTTAACTGGTTGACACTTGCCCAAAATATGATATGTTCACAAAATTTTCAAACATTTACAGGAAATTGCACAAAACATGCTTTGGTTTGGATAACATAAGGATACCAAGAATAGACTCTCAGATTTTGGCTATTTCAAAAATTCCTGGAGCATGCTGAGCTGCAGTGAACTTAAGTCCTGCTAGTAACTGGCCCATAAAGCACTAGGTTAAGTGTTATTTTACTATCATTGCCAATACTTTGAATTTGCTGTGTGCCTAGACCAAATACTCAAGTAATGGGATAACCTAGATTGTATTTTGATCTAAATATCACCTCTAGTCCTATATTAAGTCTCACTTTTTTCAGAGGATGGGTTGGAAATGCATGTGTAGCAAACTCCTTTTCTGTGATGGCATTTAGCAGCAGGATAGGGCAGGTGGAAAGTGAGGTTCAGAGGCTGTCTGGGCTGCATTCCTTCGGAGTAACCACAAGATGGTGCCTTGAATTTTTCAAGAAAAAAAATAATTGTTGCTTTTTAATAGAGTTGTGTCACGGTGCTCTCCTATTATTCTGTTGCAGGCTTTTTAAAAGTGCTAAAGACTTATACCCTTTCCTTTTGTTTATAATACAAACATCTAATTATGTTATCTACTTGGATGCATGTTATTAAGTAGACCTTTTTTATCTAGCCAGTCTTGACAATAAATGCTTAGCCATTACACTTTATAATTGCTTTTGCTTGTGGATGACCTGCTCCTTGATTTTAACAGGCACTTAGAGGGCAGTGAATATGCAGTGGTAGAAACAGAAGCCATTTAAAACAATTATTATGTCCTTTTTTTGTTGATGTGTTTCACTATGTTATGGTTTTATGCCCATTATATAAATTTATCTTTGTATAGCTCACATTATTATCATAAAGACAGGGAAAATATTGACCTTGAAGACTATTCATATTTAGCATAATATACTGATAGTTCTCATTTTGATAATTTATTGGCCTTTCTTTCATTTACATCTTCAAAAAAAAAGTATTTTTTGATATTAGTTTCATTTCAATACCACCTACACACTATATACTACTATAAGAGTAAGCTATGTAGCTTACTGGAAAAATTTACTCTTGTCAGGTATTACTTATACAATGTTTTAGGATGAAGTTCACTGTGTTGCTGAAGGCTGTGACAAGCGTATGTAGAACATTACTTGTCCTTGCAGAGAGGGGACCTTATATGTATCCTGGTCATAATACTTTGGAGAGAAAGGCTTTTCCTTGAGAAATTTTTGGTTTTCTTGCTGTAGTGGACCCATGTCCTTTGCACAAAGCATGAAAAGGCCAAGGGTTGCTAGGGTGAAGAAACTATTGTGCTGTTCATTTGACACCATATCCTGTTAGTTCTTCTGTCAGAGACAATTTAATTATTCTTGATATATTTTCTTGAAACGAATCCAAATGCTGACAGAGGTTTGTTTCATCGAGGTTCTTCTACAGTTTGGTTGCACCTGCATAAATATAATTCTGTAGGTTTGTGATTGCTCCTTTTTAGAATCAAACTGAGCAAAGTGCAACTCATTGCTCACATTGATTGGTTTCACTGATCGCCAGACATGAAACTTGTCCTAAGTAGATCGGTCTTACAGGAAGAAGTTAACCAATACTGACACACTGTAAATGCTTATTTTATCAACAAGATGTATAGAAAGTGAATATTTCGATTTCTGTTTTAATTGTTGTATTAGCAATAATGCAAAACAAAACCACTGCAATACTGTCATATGAAAAATTGAAATATTTTTAGGTTCTGTTATTACTTTAACAGGATTTTTTATTTCATGTTTTTTCCCAAATTTTATTTATTTTTTTCTCGATCCTTTCACAAAAAAAAATGCAGGTGTGT